CCACAGTACAAAACCAAGTTCTTTTCTGAGCAGAAAGACAAGGAAGGAGTAACATTTATAAGACCTAGGAATATTTCCATTTTTGTTATAGGTGGTCATGGTCAAGTGGTGGTATTGTACAGTGGGAGTCTTGTCTTGAGACTGCAGCATATTCCAGCTTTGCGTGAGCCCTTTCACTCTCAGAGCTTCTCAGTCAGCCCAATCTGTTCCACCCTGGTTCGACCAGTCGGCCGTGCAATGAAACTTCAGCAGCAGGAGAGCTGTGCTGTGACCTCAATGCCCTGCGTGGTTCTGTGAAGGCGGGGAGGTTGAGGAAGGTGAATAGAGCAGTACATGATGTGTGACATACGAGTTAAGCCTTCAAACATTCAGTGCAGGTAGTGAATGGCTATAGTGTCATATGTTGTTTTATGGCGTTTATGCTGCAATTTAGGCAGCGGACAGTACAGAACAATAAAGATATTGAGCCAGCAGGGCACCTCAACATGTGGTTAATAAATCTCTCTATCTTGCTCATTTTGTGCATTGACATACTATTTTAAATTTAGGCCTAAAATATGACAGGTTACTCCCACCAAAGAAGTTTAAAGACAATAGGTGTAGGAGATTTGGTTTTGTTTTTTGTTTTGTTTGTCTTTTGACTGGACTGAATACAGACTGCAGAAGGCAGTTAGGAGTCATAATAACTGAACACACAGACAAGATACAAATATTTTTAGACTCAGTGTGAATTACATTTCTTGAGGATATCATAATCCCTAATGTTAAGAAGTCAACAAACCAGCTTAGAAATAATAGAAAAAAGACGCTCCTTGTACTAGAACTTGCTTGAGAATCATTATGTAATTGAGTTTTCTTTAGTATCAAAGTTAATCCAGTGATCGTTGTCTATACATGGGTACATTGGAAGCAGAAACTGCTAATAGCAAACTCGGGAAACTGTAAGCAAATATAGTCAAAAAAAAGAAAAACAGGGCTCCTGGGTTGTAGCATGCAGCGAACTAACTACCAAAAGAGGGAACTGTTTAAAACCAGCAGCGCAGTGAACATAAACCTGACATTATCTAATTATAACCTACTGTTTGAAAGTGCTATGTTGTAAACGAAATCATGGAAATCATGCGCAGAAACTGTAAGGAAGACACACTCTAATGCCTCATCTCAGCATCTAATGGCGCTCTTGAATGAAATGATTAATGGAAATTCCTTCAAAATGTCAACATTAAAGCCAGACATGAACATTTAGAGACAGCTTCACAAAACATGATTGGCTTCTCAGAGACAAAGAGAGCGATACAGTTGGCTCCTCCACAGAGATGGATCACATTTAGTGACTGAATTAAAAGCCTCTGGAGTCGTTTTCTGTGCCATTTAGAACTGAGTGGGATTGAATGATCCTGAGAGATTTGATGAAACCGATTTAAAATATCTTAATTTGTGCTACATGCATGTGAAAGCACTCACACTTAACAATTAAAGCAGGCAAAATGTGAAATACGAGTAAAAGCTGGTGTTATGTTTTAATGCAACGGAGTGTATGAGTCTCTGTCCATGGTGCTGAAATACACTTTCTTGTCCTGCACGCAATGTTTCTATATCACTCCTTGCTCATGTCCATTTCTCTCTTTCTCTCTTTGTATGCCCCATTAACATATGGCTGAGTAATACAGAATTATTTTTTTTACTCCTACATTAATCTTGAAACAAATAAGTGACTGAAGTTTGAAACATTTGTCTATGGCAGCATTCTTTTTTGCCACGTCTTAATTCCTGTTCACTTCTCAACAATATCACCTCTTTACTGAAATGAATGGTGTATTTTCGCATTCCGCTCTCAAAGTTGGATTTGGAAAGCTATAACTGGCTGCTCCTGCTGCTGAAAGCACTTCACAAATCAGGCAGAATTTGGAAAAGTGTCTTATGTCAGCTCAAAATGCTGTCTGAATGCCTTTGAACACGGGACGGGGGGGGGTGTAATTTTACACAAAATGCCATCATCACTTTCAATGTTGAAATCCTTGAAATTTTTCTGAAATTGCAGTATAGTCCAGAACCGCACTTTTTCTTATTTTACTCTGGCTGGCCCACTTTTGTTCTGTGTGAGCAGAATATAAATCATGTGACTCTGTCGTGTGTCTCTTTATCATGTAAACTACTGTTGCTGCACTGAGGTTGTTGGTAGATCAGGGTGTTGAAAATATGATGCATGGCTTTAATTCCCTGTGTGTAGCTTGAATTTTTATCTAACTTCCTTTCCTTAATTGTGTGTGTAGCTGTCCACTCAGTATTCTGCATGCGTCATACTCTGTGCAGAGGTACTGTCTGACAACAGTGGCCTGATGATGTTAGCTTATACATGCCTGGGGTATTTAATGTGCATGTGTGTCTATATCCATATGTAATTATAATTTGCTGCCTTACTCAGTTTGGCCACTTGCCTCTTTGTGTGTGTGTGTGGGTGTGTGCGCTCTCGTGTGCAGCATGCATGTGTGTCCCTGACTGCTGTCATCGGTTGTGTTTTGCCCGTGACCTCTGACCCGTGTGGCGGGGTGGCAGATGTCACAGCATGACATAAAGGAGACACTCGAGCTAAAGGCCTGCAGCTTACTCTTTCTGCAACCCCCCACCCACCCACTTATCCTGGTGCTGCTGTTGGATTTTTCTACACACATCCTCCTGTGGGTGGAGCTGGAGTCTTGTACTGTGGGTGTAAGGACTGTGCGTTTTATAGCAGAATGAAAACAAACTGACAAGCAGGTTATCAAATGCTAAAACCCTGAAAGGTAAAATATTCTTCTGTAAAACAAAGACAGAGAAAAAACAACTCCTACATTACCGACAAGGATACACACCACGCCTTCTATATGATATCATACTACCCATCCCTGTCTGTGACCCCCTACTGTGTTTCGGTGATATCACCACCCTCTTCCTCCTCCTGCTCCATCCTACCCCCTCTCCCCTCCTCCCACTGTCTCTTCTCTCCCATGTATATTTTATCCATCCAGACTCCCACATTAGAGACAGCATCCATTATTGAATTACTCCCCTCAGCACTACTGTGCAACTGTCACCCCACGTCAGCTTTAACATTTGGTGGATTTGTTTGAAAGGGAAGGAGGCAGGGTGTACACATACACACACACACACACACACACACACACACACACACACACACACACACACACACACACACACACACACACACACACACACACACACACACACACACAGAAATGACATCTCTCTTGGCTGGGCATTGCAGAGCAGCTCCTGTGATATCTAGGACAAATAGATGATGCCAGAGTTCATCCAATAAGACATTTCACGTAGAAAAAAATAGAACTGTATCGCTGTTTATGCATTTTAAAGGATAAGGCTGATGTAATTCTATATTTTTCTTACTTTTAATAAATCCCACAAAAATTCCAAAACCAACAGTGTATTAGTCCGTCTCTGAATACTTTCCCTCTTCCTGACCCTGACTGTGGCACTCAGCACCTACTGACGATGTGTGTAAATCTTTAAAAACAGGGCACAAGTATATAGTTTAATTAAAAAAGGCTGTTATTTCCTACAACAGCTGGGTACTGTAGTTTTTAATAAACATAATACAATATTGTATAATGTTGTGTAATGTAAGTATGTGGGACTGACTCAAAATAAACTATGGCCATGTTCATGGTAATGAAGGAACATGTCACCCAATTCTAGGAGTGGCTCACTGATGTTTTTAAAAAAAAAACTCTATTTTTCTCACTCAACAAATCCCACGAAAACAACAACAAAACAAAAAACAAATAATTGATGATATTCATAAGTCAAAGCCTGATATAACTGATATAATAGAGCTCCACTGTTGTCCACTGACTGTTAAAAACACATCAGTCAGCCTCACTGTTGCACTGGATTACATGTTCCTTCATTAGGATGAACATGAGCTCTTTGATCCCAAATGTCCTGCTGCTGAAATAGTAGTGCAACAAATGTGTATTAATCCACAGCTGAACATTACCGACCCCCCGCCACCCTCCCCCAAAAAACATGATTTATTCCTCTTTACTTAATGTTTGCTAAAAACTACAGTTCCCAGCTGTTTTAGGAAATAAGTTATTCTTTTTTAAAAACTGAATGTCTATATTTACAGTAAAAAAAAAAACATAGAATATAACCAGAATCATCCATTAATGACCTGTTTTTTTTTTTGTTTTTTTTAAAATAATGTCAGTGCAAGGATAATCACACTCATGAGCAAGATGTAACACACACACACACACACACACACACACAGACACAGAATAACACACAGTCACGTGTAAAAAGCAGCTTGCAGTGCTTCCCCTCTCTGTCTCTGTCTTGTCATTCACATTAGTCTTCACTTCACTGCTCCGTCATCCCTCCACCTCTGATTGGCTTTCTCCCACATGCTGTGTCTCTTTCTCATTCATACCTTCCCTTTTCCCATTTTCTTGTTGTTTCCCTCTCTCTCTCTCTCTTTCTCTCTCTCTCTCTCTCTCTCTCTCTCTCTCTCTCTACCTCTGTGCCCCCTCCCCTCTCGCTCTGTCGCTCTGCACTTCCTGGCTTGGCACGATACCCTTGAGAGCAGCCCCACAGTCCTCTCTCCTTCTGAGAGGGATGCTCGGCAGCCTGTTCCCTCTCTCTGTCTCATCTACGTCCCTCCTCTCTCTCTCTCTCTCTCTCTCTCTCTCTCTCTCTAATTCTCCCATTTTCTCCCATCTGTGACACAGCTGACATTTTTCAAATCTTCCTCCTCTCTTGCACGCATACTCACGTGCACAGAGTCACGGCAAGACATCGAGAGAGAGAGGGGGACTGTGTGTGTGTGTTTGCATGTGTTTAGCCAGAGGAGGCTGACATGCCGGCGTGGAGCGTAATCGCTGCCTCTTGACTGCCTCTCTATGTGTGTGTGTTTATTTCTGTGTGTGCGTTTGTGTGAAGGCTCAGCTGCTCTCATGCTCACTTGCCAGCACAGCCTTTGCTGCTAGCAACATGTTTCGACGCACAAAAAGGTAAACTGCAACAATCTGTCTCCGTGGAGTCTTTGTGACCAGTGTGCTGCCCTGCTGTTGTTAGTATGTGTTGATTCATCGGAGGAGGTTGTTGTGTTTTTCCATGATGTTCTCCTTGTCCCTGCCAGCTATCACGCTGTCTCACAGTTGTCTCCCTGTCTCCATTTAGCTCCAGCAATATGGTGTGTGTGTGCTTGTATGTGTGTATGTGATGTCTTTACATGCATATGTGTCCATGTAATGTGTTGTCTGTGCATATACTGTGTTTTCACATGTGCCTGTAGGGTTTTTGAAGTACATCAAGGTTTGATCATTTGTTTGCTTCTGCATATTTGTGCGTATGTGTGTGTGCTCCACTGAACCATACTGCAGCTACAACTGGTTGGATGTGAATGTATTTATACCCTCGTTGAGCTTTATTGTAGTGATGCACATGTGCACGAGGATTTAGTCTGCTTTAGATTGTGGCTCGTGAGCTGGTGATGTGTCTCTGTCTCTCACGCACAAATGCACGCGAACACACACGCAGACCCACTAGAAGGTATGTGTGTGCTCGGCCAGTAGCCTGTGTGTTGGAGATAGCATAATGATAGCGTTATTGCCAGTGTCCAGGGAGTGCTTGTGTAGCGGCGAGCCAACAGTGGGCAGCGCTGAAGTGCTGTCTGCTTGGCACAAGTCCTTGCTGGTTTTCTCTCTTCCTCCTTACCCCTTTCTCTCTTTTCAACCTTCTCTCTTGCCTTTATTTTCTGTCCCTAATGTCACCCATTTGTCCTCCATCTTTCCCTCGACTCGGTCACAGTGTTCTTCTGTTTCTCTATTAATCTACTCATTTCTCCTCTCCTCTCCTCTCCTCTCCTCTCCTCTCCTCTCCCTAATGTGCAATCTGTGCAGGCCCTTTAGTCCCTCCTGCGGTGCTTCATTTTAGCCGTCTTCATCTCATCTGATTTCAGGGGGATTAGTTGAGTCTTCACTGTTGCTCCCACTGTGCAGGGAATGAACAGCAGGATATTCTGTATATGAACATGAACAGAGGCTCCCTTGCTCACTCGGTTGGCCACCATGCACAGTGTATGTGTTTATGAGAGGAGCATGTGTGTGCTAAGAATATTTGTTTAAGCGTGTGTTTGCTCATGAGGCTGTACGTGCGTGTTTGCTGTTTCCTTGTAAGAGCATTTTTACAGTCTGTATGTTTTGTGTGACGCAACATAGTTTTTCTTATGTCATGTAGTAAAAAATGCAGATCACAATTTCTCGGATTATCTTTGATTTGCTTATTTTGTCTGACCAACAATCAAAATATATTAACTTTTCTAATTGTGCACTGCATTTTATTCAAGCAAAGTAGAATAGATAATTTTGTCTTCTTTTGTTAAATGAAGAAATGTTTGTGGAGAAACATGTTTGTATTTCTTGAAGTAAAGTATTAAACAAGACTAAGTTTCTAAAGCTACGCTATCAGCTCTGTGAGGCTGTACTTGGGCACAACATTGCTTTTACCTAAATGCTAACGTTAGCATGCAAACATGCTTACAATGACGATGCTAACATGCTAATGTTAAGATGAGATAACCACTTTAGGTTAGCATGTTAGCATGCTAATAACACAAAGTACAGCTGAGGCTGATGGGAATAGCTTCTGTTTTACGGTATTTGACCATAAACTAAAATACTGGAAAACTTGAAATTTTGACCTTATGGTTTTACTAGAGGAAAAGTCAAGGGGATTATTAGGATCGTCCTCCTCCTTTCATCCTCCGGGTACTGTGAATGTCTGTACAAAATTTCATGGCAATCCGTCAAGAAGTTGTTGAGATATTTGAGTTGAACTAGTGAGTTGTCCCAAGTGGCGGCTAAATAACTATTCCTTGTTGGTACTGGTGTTCATTACAGTAATGACTTAAGAAAAAAAAAAATCAAACAATACTTTGCCCCGATTTGGAGTTATAAATATCATCAGATCATTTACGCTTGGTTTCTCTCGCGTTCTGCCCCTCTCTCTCTTTGTTGCTCTCCATTGTGTGTCTGTGTTTGCTCGCGTTTTGGATTTGTACATGTGTGTTTACTTGGCTGGCTGTGGCAATTAAGAGAGATAAAGCTTTGTGCCCACTCCCAAACAGATTGAGCTAAAGGAAGACAGCAAAAGTGAGTAAGAGAGAGAACATGAGCCACGAGACGGCAAGTAGGAGAGCTACAGAAAGAAGAGAGTCGGGTAGGATGAAAGGCAGAGCCTGAGGAAGTGTCTCAGCCTACATTTAAGAGTAGCCCACCGGGGTTAACTGAGCCCATGACGATACACTCTCAGCCTATTCGTCTTCCTCCTTCCCTCTCACTTGTTCTCTCCACTTGAAGGTAAACTCTGTTGCTTTGTTGTTTTGGCTTTTGGGATCATGAAATGAAGACAGAGAAACAGGAGGAGCATTAAGGGGCTGAAGCTGAAAAACAAGAGAAGGAGGTTTTAAATGGTTTTCTTGCCAAGAACAAGAGAGTGCATGTTTATCTCACTCACCTGGTACATACAGTATTATCCCGCTCATACGCATAATTACATACATACATGATGCAAAGCACAAATGATCCCACTCACACACAGTGCACAGTGTTAATGTTCATTTATCACACGTGAAACACGGTTTGCTATTTAATTTATTCTTCCTCTTTACTCCCTGTCCTTGACTGATTGGGCGACGCACTGATGTTCTTATCACTACACTGTGTATATATATATATATATATATATATATAATGGTTACAGAAAAACAACTCACTTTGCTACAGTGGTTTCATTTTAAACACATCTGTTGAGTTTGCTTTGATCTGTGCGACAGGCAGTTCAGAGTATTTTAAGCTTCAGTACAGCATACATTATGATGATGGACCTGATAGCTCCCAAGTAGGCACCACAATTATCTACTCTGGTGTCAACAAATGACCCATAGTTACGATGAAGCACATCCTCAGTGGTGGTATGGCTTTTAGAGGTTTCTAAATGAAGGTGCTTTCTCTGATATTTTAGTCTGTATATTGTTTCACACATGAGGTCAGAAACAAAAACATGCCCGTCTTCCACCAGAAGCACAAAGCATGAATGTTATAGATTTAGGCATGTATTTGAGCAGGAGGTGGAGTTTTAGCTTGGCTTTTTGTTAATGGAGCTGTAGAGTGAAGGATAGTATATACAAAAACTCCTCTCCATGTTCTACTCCTGTTGTTTGTAGCATGACAGCACCATCTGTTACTGGCTGGTGTTCAGGCTGCCCTTAACCAACACACACAGACTGTTGTTGGTTTATCTTTGATATAACGATGACATGATACCACAACTTCTCTTATACAGCCGTGAGTTGGATGACACACGAGTCGCATGAGAATGAGATTCTCCTCAAAAAAAAAAAAAAAAATTGAAAAAAAAGATACACATAAATCTGCTTAGAGGTAATATTTAGGCTGTGCATTTAGATTTATGTAACTATTATAACGGCAAGCTTTGGAATTTTCTGATTTATTCATAGGCACCACTATTATGCAGTTAGTGTTGTTCTATATTACTAAAGTGACCATAAATAATTAATGCATTAATTACCTGTTTGAATATTAATTTCTAACATGTAGAATAATTGAAAAGCTCAATTAGAGCTGAAGAGGAGCACTGGGCTCACTCTGCTCCTGCAGTTGTTTGAATATTTGAGTGTGAAAGTTCATTCTTGACTTTGGAAACAGTACAACCGAAAAAGAAACGGACTTACTAGAGCACCACCTACAATTATTAACTATTTTCTGAGCTTTCAACCACATCTCACAGCAGGTGCTCAGCTGAGTAACTGTTGAGCAAATTCCCTTGACTGGAGAATATGAGAATGAGATGCAGCTGATGTTGCCATTCCTCTAATTCTTGCTGGGTTTTGTGATTACAGCCAACCAATGCCTTATCCTTACATATATAAATTTTCATGGATGAGAAAGCTCTTAGGGGTGACAGTTTCATATTTGTTTTATTTGATGTAACAAAGCTTTTAGCTTAACCTAACATACTTGATATGTTACTGGATTGTAGACCTGAAAAAAATTAATCAGAAAATTAATCTGCAATAATTTCAATAATTAATCATTTAAGTGTTTTTTCAAGCAACCATGGCAATGATAATGCTTGTTGCCGGTTTTATTAGTCTTCTGTGATAATAAACTGAATGTCTTTTTTGTTAAACTAAACAAGCAAATTAAATAAGTCAGCACATAAGTCAGCACAAATTTTCACCATTTTCTGTCGTTGTATAGATCAAACGATCAACTAATCAGGAAAGTCATAAGTAGATTTATTCATAATGAAAATAACTGCTGCAGTCGAAGCCCAGCTGAATTATATATATATGTATATTGTTCAAAATATAAACCAACTGATACTGGATTTTTGAGGCCCATACTGATGTAATATTTGGGAGTTTAAAAAATCAGATAATGATATATCGGCCAATAGTAGATTTTCACATACCATAACCAAACAGTCTTAATGCAGGTCTCCTTCATTTGTGTTTCTTTTATAATTTTACTGTTGAAAAATCAGCTTGTCACTGCTCTTATTGGCTGACATAAATGCTGATACCAATATATCTGGACTATGCTAATACTGGACTGATTTATTGATCTAGCTCTAGTGCAGAATTGTTGAAAGAATGTTTTTACCACTCTCCATTTGTTTCTCAAAAAACTGGGATCTGCAGTTGCCTGGCAGTACTCGCTTGTTCATGCTTGATATCATCAAAAGTGCAGCACATGAACTCTAACCCTCTGTACAGGGTGTGTTACCATTGTGCTAAGATATCATAGAGCTTAAAATCAATCAAAGTATTCACTACATGTAAACCAGATAGTAAATGATCATCTGCTCACTAATTGTCAAAGCTGTTTCATTCACAGTTGAACTGCTCTGCTGTTCTTTGAAGCTTGTTTAAAACCATTACTATCATAATCTGAAGTCTAGTTGTGCTACGCCAGATGTTATATTA